CCGTATTTGGATTTATATTTTTTTAATTTTAATTCCATCTTTGTGGATTAAAAATTAATTTTTTTGATTTTTTTTATGTTGTTCAAGTGTTTGAAATAAAATTTTTTTTAGTAGTTGGATTAAAAATTTAATGCTTTTAGTTCCTTTATATGTTTTGGGGTTTTTTAAATTTTTTTTTTTTAACCCGTATTTGGTTTTAGATATTAATTTTTTAATTTTTTGATCATGTTTTTGAACTAAATTTGTTTCCCAGTATGTGGGAATCGAAATTTATTGTTTTTGGCTTTTCTTTAACTAATTTTTTTTTATATTCCGTAATTAGGTTAATATTTTTAAGTTTTAATTCCATTTATGGGAGTTAAAAATTCATTTTTTTTTTTTGTTCATCACGAATTTTTCAGTATTTGGAATTCAAAATTTATTGCTTTTAGTTCTTTGATTTTATTTTTTTGTATTCTTTTTAATTTTGTTTGTTTGGTTATTGGACACCGTATAGGGGTTTAATTTTTTTAGTTTGAATGTCATTTTTGGAACTAAAAAATTTTATTCAAATGTGAAGGACCATCCCGTTACAGTGAAGAATTCGTTCTAGTTTCGAGAGATTTTCATAGAGGTGCCTAATTTATTTATCGAAAAAGAAATATTTGGTGTTTTTGACACACCTTAATATATATACATACATATGAACCTGCGTTAAACGAATTTTTGAAATTTTGAGATATGTTTCGAAATTATTTCGAATTTTTTAATTTTTTGGAATCAATATACTTAGCACCGCTTTCGGTATTTTCAGAACGCATCACATCACTTTCAAATGGATTTCAAGGAATGTACAAACAGTAGAATTATGCTCGATATCGCAGCCAAATTTCGGAAATGCAATTCTGCTTACACACACACACACAATCTAAATAATATATGCGGCATAGAGCAGTTTTTAAGGAAAGCAAGGATGCATACTGTAAAGAATTTGTATTTATTAGATCTTTTTTTATGTTAATAGTAGTTATGGTGAATTATATTGTAATTGTGTGTAAGGCTCGCTAAAATTAACTGTATATTTTAGATACACAATGATGATGCAAAAATTATGAATAATTATTATATATATATTTATGTTTAAGAACAGATATGTTGAATACAAAAATGTTGTAATATTTTCAAATTGTTATTAAAGATTAGTGAAATTAAAGAATGATGAAAATGATCCACGGATCCATTTTAAGTATAAATCTATATAAATATTATATATATAAATTGTATGTACATGTATGTCTAGCTAAAGCATATGAATACTATTAATTTGTTTTTGTTGCTTATTTTATAGTAAACTCGTAACGATTATGGACACACACATAAATATACTGTAATATTATTATGTAATATACATATATAAGTCATGAATGTTGAAAATTATTAACACTAGTTTTACTGTCCGTCAAATACTATGCCTACAAATGTTTTCTTGATTTTTTATTCTTTGAGTTTGCTAAATTGTCTACATTGAACAGAATAACAATAACAGCAGCAACAACAACAACCACGAATACATATTCTTCTCAATATGTTCGCTGCTTAGCTGCGGGATGAGAATTTTTCTCAAACCAACACATTTGTTTGCACTGATTAAGGCGTTACATGGGTTTCCTCGGGAGAGCGACAAACTTTTTTCAAAAAAAAAAATTTCCTATAACAAATTAAATATTTTATTCAAACTTTTTTTATTCCAAAGTTGCGTTTTTATAAAATTTTGGGGAAATTTTAAAAGAAAATATGCAAAACTCAGGCATTATGACGCACACGGAAAACTGGCCGCGTTGACTGCTAAACTTCTTAGAGAAAAATCAAAAGTAAAAAGAAAAAAGAAAAATATTTATTTTACTTAAGACCATAAACTAAAACCAAAAAAGTGAAATTTGAATTTTTGATAGACATTTATACAAAAAAAAATGCAAATTTTGGTAAAAGTTTCGCGATTTTTTTAAGTTGTAATTAAAAATTTCTTCGAGACCTTGCGAATATAACGAAGACCTTTAAAAATTTTATTAAAATCAGTTGAGTAGTTCGTGAGAATCCTCCTTGACAACCAACTTTGAAAACCAACACAGTTTCGAGAGATAGTTTTAAGTGACTATATAGCTGACTTCAAGCGCGCAACTTTTCAAGTAAAAATATTACTCGGATCAACTTGAGCATTTAGGGCAAAATTCTATAGATAAAAAAGAATTTTTTTACAGCCATGAAACCCATGTAACGACTTAAGTAGTTGAAATTAGTATGGATTACTCGGAAAAATATTGGATATTAGAGTACAAACATATGCGATTGGAACACAAAAAAAAAAAAAAAATTTGCAACCAGCTGCGGCTTTAAATATTATATATTCATATTACGTAAACCGAGAGTAGAGTGCATAACTCCATTTCCGCTTTTCATGGAATCTTTTCAAATGGTAGTAGTACAAATTAATTTCGTTATTGGACAAGTTGTGTATAGAGCAGTTGAAATTGAAGTTGAAGTTGAGTTGAAGTTGAGTTAAACAAATATGTTAAACGTGTTTACCTAACGGTAAATAGATGAAACGAGCAATAAGGAAATAAAAAGTTTGTCGAAAATTTGGTCAATAACTGAAAAAAAAATTTTTGGTAAGATAAATGTGATAAATCGTGATATTGGAATTTTTAAAATATATATTAAAGATATGGATGGAAGTTAACTGAAATTTTAACTAAATATTAAAGATATGGATGGAAGTTAGCTGAAATTTGGAGACGTTTAGTGCGAAGAGTAGTATAGCTTAAAAAGCAACGCAGAAAATGACACACATACGTATTTATGTAGCCGAGAGCAAAAATGGATGAGAATAAGCAAATTTTGTATTACTGAAATTTCAACTTTTTTTCGCGCTGTTGTTGTTGTTGTTATATGTATGTGACTTTTTATTTGTGAAACATAATATGAATTTTTTCTTAATTCTTCGTAAAAGAAATGTATGTATTTGCCTTTTTGTTGGACTCGAGTTTTTTTATTTACCGTCAAATGTCACTGCCGCATGCAAAAATAGCAGTAATTGTAATTTTTGAAAAAAAAAGGAAACAAAACAACAACCTAAAATAAATAATCTTCCAAACTATAAAAGGGACTAAGTCCTGTGGCCACTGCCCATATGTGCAATTTACACTTTTTTTATTAAAGTAAATGAAAAAGAAAACTTAATAATGTTAGTATCATTTAAGTATTGTTTAAGTTGAAAAAAACAAAAATTCAAAAAGCTGCATACTACATATGTACACGAGCAATATATACAAATTCGTTTTCGACTTTTTTACGAAATTTTAAAGAATTCATGCAATTTTTTCTGGTTCTTCTTATTTTTTTTTGAATACTTATGTCAACAGTTCTTTCAAGAGTTTTTTTTTTCAAGTTTAGYTTTTTTTTTTTTTGAAAATATATTTTTATTTTACTTAAGTTTATGAGCACACGAATCAGTTGTAAGTCTACATATGTAGTTTTTTTTATTGTGACAACTTTTTCTTATTTAAAAATAAAATTATTATTTCAATTTGTTTGCGTTTTATTTATATTTGAGACACAGCACATTTGAGAACGCACCGCCGACCAGCAATTTGCGCAAAGGACACAGCAATTTCAATAATGTAACAGAAATGTTTACTTCTAAACCCATACATTCCAACGATTTATGAAAAATAACACTAGTCAACAAAAAAAATATTATTTACTGTTTTCAATTAAAAAATACTGGAAATTTTGATTTTAGCTCTTAAAGTGTGCTTTTAAATTCGGAATTTAATACGATAGAGTCCATACGAACAAATAAGAAATACGAAAAAACTTTACAAATTCAAACTTTATTTTAAAAAGACAAACAAAAAACAAGAAATTTCCCTTATTTTTGGTGTAAGAGAAAGTGAAATTTAACAAGCAGAAGTCAGTCTCAAAAGTCTTGTTGACCGGTGTAATGGAGCGAGTGATGATATGAAAAACTTAAGCAAACTGTACAGAATTTGAATATTTCAATGCAGCGAGCTTGAAAAATATGCGACTGTTGAAACAGTTTCGACTGAAACAAATGTAATGCCGTTTAGTAGACTGATTTAAGAATTTTTTAATAAAAAAGTTTTGTATTAAAAACTTTATTGAAATTTAATTTTTTCAAACATAGTTTTGGATTTAAAAATTAAATTTTTAACTTTTAATCTCAGGTGTTTGGGGTTAACAATTTCAAATAGCTGACGGCTCTGTGCGAGT